TGTGTGTGTGTGTTTTTGTGCTTCTTTATACGGGAGGATTAGCAGGTCAAACCTCGGCCGTGCGAGGGTGAACTCGGGGACAAAGGAGGGACAGCGAGCGAGCGGAGAATACAGAAGTGAATGGACCAGAGGGAGGAAGGGAGTTAGGGAGGGAGGGAAGGAAGGAGGGAGAAGAAAACACTGATATAGAGAGAGATGGTGGGAGTGGGAAGAAGGAAGGGAGGGATGGATGGAAGAAAAGTTCAGGAACCGTTCGTCTCCTAAGTCTCCCTCCGCAGCCAGATTTAGAGGGAACAGAAAATATTCAGGACACTTCCTGTTTTCCTGAGAGACTCTGACGAGGTGACTCCAGGTAAAAGATCTGAACTCGTCACGTGTTCAGTTCAGAGCCAATCACAGTGAAGATAAAAGAACATCCACGTGATCAGAGAGTTTTACATCATTCACAGGTTTAGTCTCTGGAACGTTTTCTCAGCTTCATGTGTTCGTTTTGTTTTCACGTTGTAATTTAGGGAGAATTTATTCTGACGAACGTCCTGTCGTCATCACCTACCGGTACTTGACCCTGATTGGTTTGTAGACGTCTGACGTGGGCGTGTTGTCATTTGCGGGGGGGGGGGCGAGCAAGCTTCATTTGGTTGCCACGGTAACATCATGATGCTTTCACTAGCAGCTTCATCTTGTTCTCCTCGGTTTTGTGAATTGAAGAAATGAAGACTAATAGTGTTTCTTTGTTCCTTAGTTTCCTGTGAGGTTCTCGTACAGAGAAGTTTTAAATAACTTGATTTTAATGAGATTGTAGAAAACGTCAGAGTCTGCGTACGGTGACATCGAAGCACGACTCAGCAGTTTTTGATTGATTTCGAAGAGACGAACACATTTGTTCTAAATCCTCGAAGTTAAAGTTTCCCTTGTTTCTTCTTCAAAACCTCCTGTTCGTTATCACCGATCACTCGTCCATCCTCTGCCCTCGTTCTTATCTATCCATCTTCATCTGCCCTTACTTTACCCTCTCTCTCTCTCTCTCTCTCTCCCTCTCTCTCTCTCTCTCTCTCTCTCTCTCTCTCCATCTGTCGCCCTCCATCTCTGCTCTCTCTTATTTTCTCGCTCTCTCCCACATGTGGTTTTGGTCTCCATCCCTCTGTACTGCGTCCCTCCCTCCCTCCCCCCCTCTCCTCCTCCTCTCTCATCCCTCGCTCACATATGGTTTCTCTCTCTGGATCTGTGTGTGTGAGTGTTTGGTGTTACCCAGAGTTCACTGGGGCTCCTTGCTCATATGTGTGTGTGTTTTGCAGACAGAGATAGAGAGACAGAAAGTGTGTATGTCTGCAGTCCGACGGGCGTGTGTGTGTGTGTGTGTGTGTGTGTGTGTGTGTGTGTGTGTTAGTTAGGTGGAGTTCAGCAGGGCAGCAGCAGGTTATGCAACAGTTTCTAATGTGAGCCATTTCGAGGAAGACTTAACCTTTTCTCCGTCCCTCCTTTTCTCTTCTTTCTTTCTCTTTTGTTTGTTTTTGTGTCCGAATGTAAAAATATTTCCAGCTGTAAAACAAAAATCTACAAATTGAGAAATACATTTGATCCCTGTAGCGAATCAGACACTTGCACCATTAATTTATTTATTTATTTCAGTGTTAAATTAAATTTGCAGTCAATGTTTTATTCGTTATTAATTTTCAGGCTGAATTAATTAGTTTTATTCAAGTTTCATTTTCAAATTCAAGGTTTGATCTTTTAAAGAAAGAGGAATGTTAATACTTTGGCTCTCGTCATAGTTTAATATAGTTTATGAATTTGATCCACAGAACAACCAGGTTTGTTTATGCCCATTGTGACTAATCAACATTTTTTAAATGTGTTTATGTTCTCGCCACTAAACTGGATCATTTTAAACCCCAACAACCAGGATGTGTTTCTGAGAATAAACAGGAAACAGAGTGTTTTCATTCAAATGTCTCTTCCTGTGTTTCTCTAGTTACTGGAACTGTTCACTCAGTGGGACTGGTCGACGTACCTCGCTGACTACGGCAAATCCACCTGCAAATACCTGAGAGTGAACCCACACACTGCACTGGCCCTGCTGGAGAAGTGAGTCCTTGGTTCACACACTTTCCTCTATTCCTTTTCCTCCTGTTATTCCTGGATTCATCGCTTCTCTGCTGGAATCCATTCAATTAGGAGTTCATCTGATCTCCAGAGGCGTTAATTATCGAAAACACAAACCGTCGCTCCTCTCTTCTTCTTAGTATCTTGTAAATTGCGTTTATTTGGGCTTTGATTGAACAAAATTAGTCGTAAACAGACGATTAAATAAGTTTAGAAACGTATAAAAGTAAACAAGAGTGAGATTTCTCCCTTTGTGCATTTAATTTTAAATCTTTATATTGGCTCCTGGTAATGTGCTACATAAATAAAACTCACTTCATATCAAGATATAATCCTAAAATCTGGTTCAAATGTTTTTTTCAAATCAGAGCACTTTTATTTATGCAGCACACTTGATAACAAGTGAACTTCTGTTCCTTCTTCCTTCATTTGGGGGAAATACGATGATTGGCTTTTCTTTCTGGAGAGTTAGATGAGAACATTGGTCGTATGATTAGCTTAGCATAAAGACTGGAGATAAGGGGAAACAGCTAGCCTCGCTTTGTCCATCTTAAAAGAATACATCTACTTCTGTTTGTTTAACTTGCACATAACTAAGTAAAATGTAACATGGCGAAATGATGTTTTATTATTTTATTGCCTTGTTTCTTAAATTTTGATAGTTTTAAATATCATTTCTCCCATTGCTATTATTTACTATGACTTTTTCTTGTTTTTGCAGTGTAAACATTTTAGGCAACATTTAACGTTAACAGGAACTCAGGTCGTAAATCTGACACGTTGAATTACTCAATGCATTTAAACAAACAGACATGAGATGAACTTTAACACATTTATTGATAATATCACAACATCTCTCCATCTTTCTTTACCTCCATCTCAGCTGATCTTTCCTGTTTCCTGTTTGTCCTTAATGTTGTTTTTTACTAGGTTATTTAAACCGTGAGTATCGTCTCTGATGTGTGTGTGTGTGTGTAGTGATAATGGATTGTAGCATGTGTGTGAATACTGTTTGGATCACTACTAAAGTGTGTGTTTATGAGAAAGAGGAATTTAATCTTCCCTTTTTGTAGGTGTGTGTAAAATCACACGTACGTCCTGATGTTAATCACTGTGACGTTATCACTAAAACAACTGACACATTATCAGATAATCAGTGAAGAGGCTGAGCTGCTGTAGAGATAAACACACACACACACAGACACACACACACACTCTGTTCAGTCGATCGTCTTTAACCAGGTTCAGTATTTTCTCTCTGGAGCTCCAGGAGGGCCCAGGCCCGGTGGTCCCTCTGTGCCCAGGAGGAAGCACCCTGCTGGGGCTTGTCTGGTCTGCTGGGCCCCCTGAACTTCCTGGAGGTCCACAACAGTTCAGTGTTCTGTGACAAAACACACAAGTGCACACATGCTGAGACACACACAACACACACGTTTGTTTAACAGGTGACTGGAGCAGTCCGTGTGTTCACACTGAGGATGCTTGTTTGTAATTCTCACACTAAACTTGAGTTTTCCTGCATATTTCTGTTCTAACTGCATTAAAACCCTGAGAAGATAAAACAGCAGTTTTCTCTCCCTCCTCTCATCCTCTCCTCCTCTCCTCCTCCAGGATGAGGGAGACGAGCAGGAAGAACAACGTCTTCGCTCAGTTCAGGAAGACGGACAGAGACCGACAGAGACTCATCGACACCGTCATCAAACAGCTACGCAACGTCATCGCACAGCACCACGCCTGATCGGGCGGCGGGCTCCACCATCTGATCGGCTGATTGAATCCATCACTTAACTGCATCAACCACTGACGCTTCCGTTCACCTTCACTTCCTGGACTCCACTGGACAACAGGTATACACACCTGCAGCAAGCTCATTGGATGACGAGCTTGTGCTGCGCGATCCGATTGGTTTGTCAAAACCACTTTTTTCTGGAATCAGGATCAACGTCATCTTTCAGTTCGTCTGAAGACGACGAGGAAGAAACTGTCCTGACTCCTCGTGGTTTGATCCGAGCGTCTCCTCACCCACAGACTGAACTGTGTGAGCTCGAGGAGGAAAACGGAGCGCTTCCTTTTGTTATTAACTTTTCAAAAAATAGCTTCGCCTGTAGATTTTGTCTTATTGTCAACAAATCGCACAAAAAGACCAAAACCAGCGATGAGATACGGTGCTTAAAGTTTCTTACCTCCGGCCTCGTCCTCCCAGGGCGATGGAGGACACGTGTTAACGGCTCAGTTGCGGTTACACACTCGCGGCTTATACCTCCCCCCTCCCCCTCACCTGATGGTTGTTGGTGTAAGTTCTGAGACAAAAAAACATTTTTGGTTTCGGTCTTTTCGCTGGATTTGTTGACATTATTCAAAAACACATCATCTGCCTTATTCTTAGAATTGGAACGATTATCTGGTGGAATCTGTTCTTTTTCTTCATGTGGGGAAAAAACTATTAAATCTACTTAAGTTTCTTAATTTGAAGTATTAATCACTAAAACCACATTCTCTTCTTGTTTGTCTTTAAACTTTATTAGAATCTTTCAGTTGCCGGACGCCATTAAGCCTCGTTGTTACTGAGGAAATTGTGAGTCCGATAATCGCGGAAACTCCCGTTGATTTGGTTCGTAAGTTACGTGGAGTCACGTGGAAACTGTGCGTGAGAATCTTTGCGTAGATTGAATTTTTGAGTCAGAAGCGTCAAACGATAACGTTGATATTTACCTTCCTCGGTTGCTGACGGCCTTCTGTGTCTTCCATACTGTATTTTGAATGTACACTCGCCTCCATCTTCATTTCAGGTTGCGATGTTTTGAAGCACTGAACTCGAGATCAGGTCTGGAAGAGAAAAATAGAGAGAAGCGGTCGTGAGTAAACAATGTCCCCTTAACCTGCTAATCAAAGCCGGACGTTGACGCGACGCGGCAACCGTGCTCCCTCCGAATTCACAACCTGCGAACACTTGAATGGCCGCTCGGATGTGGGAACCTCATTCCCACATCGTCGTGGTGGGAATCAAACGGTGAAGGCGCGCGGGGGGGTGTTGTTCCTCCCCTTTTCAGTGGGGGACGTCGCCTGAGCATTTGTACTCATGTATCGACAGCTCGGTCTTAAAGACGGCGATGACGCCTCGATTTGACAACTGTTCTAAAGTGACATGTTTTGTTCGTTTTTAAGTAGAAAGAGACTATTTTGTGTAAGAACCATTGTGCGCACACACACACACACACACAGTCATGTCTTCCATACGTGTGTGTGTGTTTAGGACGTTATTATATTCACACTAGATTATTTTTGGATTCTTTTCTGCTCTTCTTCTTTTTTTTAACTCGGGTGCAATAGTAGCATTGGAAACTGCAGGATTGTGTATGTGTGTGTTAATTGTTGGGCTTTGAAAAGGGATTCAAACTTAAAATTCCCTACTGACGTGCACACGCTTTAATTCTTCCGCTTCCTCCCTGTTCCACAAAGGTGGATGTTTTGATCAATTGCGGTGTGTGTGTGTGTGTGTTCACTGTGAAATCAACTGTATGCTGATGTGTATTTTTTCTTCCATCCTCAGCTGTGTCATTTTTAGGGGTTTGGGTTCGGTCGCACATACACAAATGTTTTAGTGGTGAACCTTCGCCTCTCGTCTAATCTGTGCCACCGAGGAGGAAACATTTGCTTCCTGCTTTGTCATTTTTGACCTGAGATATTCGTGTTGCATTCACGTATGTGTCACCGTGCTGTTAGTAAGGGAACGGGGCAGTTGCTGTTGAATTTGCCTTTGCTGTGTTCTTTTTTATTTTCCTGCCAATTACGCAGCAGCTCTGTGGCGTTTGGGCCCTGGACACAGTTTACTGAACATCCACTCTACATGTACAATAACAAGGGATTTCTGAGGTAAGAACTCAAAGCTAGAGCTTTCAGCCACGCGTGTGGATCTGATCGCTCCAGTTGTTGTACAGATGTTAAAGTTGCAGATTTTGGACAAATTCAATTCTCAACATTTATTAGTAATACTCCAATCCTTTGCTTGAGAGCTCTGGGGCAATAGTGTTAAGACCCAGGCATTGAAACTGACAACCATCAGTGTCCAGAGTCCTGACGCAGCAGACGCTACTGCGGCTTTGTTCTGTATTTTGTACGTGTAAATCTTTAATGAGACGGAAGCACTGTAAACAAACCTGTTGCATTAAACCACTAACACACGGAACTAAAGTAAACATTTGCAAAAAAAAAAAATGGCAACAGAAAAATATGGAATAAATGTTTAACTGTTGAATGATGTGTCACGACTGTTTCTTGATGTATTTTATCTGTAACTTATCATATTTTTTTATGTTCAAACACAAACCAAACTACTACTACAAATCGTCTCCTGACGCTGACTCTGATCACTGTGACCTTTGACCTGTCAGACAGCGTGGGTGTCTGCTGTGAAGCACGTGATTAACCACTGTGTGTGTGTGTGTGTGTTTGTGTGTTTGTGTGTGTGCTGCAGGTGGGAGTTGTCTGTTCAGTGAAGGATAGCGACACAAATCCAAAGCAACAATAACTCTCTACATGCACCAGGTTTCCTTGGCCGATACAGTGGAGCCATCAGAACGTCAGGATGCAAAACCGATAAAAAGGTCATAGGTTAGTATGTAGTTTAAAATATGTTAAAAAAGTCATAGGTTAGTATGTCGTTTAAAATATGATAAAAAAGTC